CTCTCTCTCTCTCTCTCGCTCCTTCCATCCACTCTGCGGCCACGTTCCTCCTTCTCTACCGCTCTCGTCCCTGTCCTCACTCCGGTTCAGGCCGCTGCCGTTGTCCCGACGTTACTTCCGTGACGATGAGCTTCAATACGCGCCGATAGTCGCGGCGGGAAACCAACGAGCCTACCCAAAGTCGTCCATGGTTTCCACGCATCCAACCCAACCCAAACCCAGCCTAGCTCAACCTGGGACGCGACCAATACGTACATACACATACACACACACACACACACATATATATATACATACACAAACTCGAGCGTGCATCCAAAGAGATGGAGAGAAAGAGAGAGAGAGAGAGTCATATCACGTGGCTGCGGTTGTATAGGTATAAACACGTGGAAGAGGGACAGAGAAAGGAAGAGTAAGAGGAGTAAAAGAGAGAGAGAGAAAGGAGGGATGGTTGCGCGGGCGCAACCATCCGCTCCTCGCTCCTCTGAAATAATAATAGAAGAATGAAAATGAAAGAAAAGGAAAAAGTAATAATCTCGGGGATCTTTTAAAATCCATCGAAGCAGACGAAGCCGCCGGATTGTGTTGTGTGTTAGGGCAATCTCACCGCCGTGCCTCCTCGCGTATCCTTCCCTCCCCATCCCCCTTCCATTCCTTCGTTCTTTCCTTTCTCCTTTCAGTCTTTCTTTTTCTTGCTCGTCCACTCGTTCGGCTCGCTCGTTGTCTCCCTTTCGTTGTCGTAGTCGAGCACACGAGCCCCCTTCCCCTTCCTCCTCCCCCTCCCTCCCTCCGTGAAAAGAAGTCAACATCGACGTGATATCCGAAGATACCGATGTCGAAGAGAGAGTCGTACAATCAGTACGACAATACGTACGTATCGGGAGCCCGCGTGTTTAACGATGTTTATCTCCTTTTTCCTCTCTCGTTCGATGTTTTTGTAATGGCTATTTCGGAAGACAGACTTCCAAGAAATGGAAGAAGGATAAGCAAGAAGAATCGTAGATATTTATAAATATATTGCATATTTATCCATTTACGAAAATTATTGTATTTAAGGAATAAAGTATTTAAACTTTATCATATATACAATAAAATCTGTTTACGAGATAAAGGACTAAAGATATATGGAATTTAACTATCGAGTATTCTTTTGAAAAAAGTCCACAAAGTGAAACATCTCAATAATTCGAAACACTATATATATATATATATATCCATCTTACAAAAAAATTTATCAATCTTAAAACCTAATATCCTCTATCACCTTTCTCTCAAAAAAAAAAACGTATCACACAAACACATCCCAAGAATACAATTTTCCAATTCTCAAGAAATCCTCACGATCCAATTCGAACGATACTTCTCCTTCTTCCCTCCGCGCCGTGTTCGTCAAATTGGCTCGAAACAGGACCGGTCCAGCTCTTCAGAACGCGAAACTCGGGACGNCGCATTTGACGCATTAACACGGTGAAAGGAGGGGGGAGGAGGAAGAGGAGGAGGGGGGGTTAGTCGATGTTCACCGGAAAACAGGGATGCCGGGGAATTCGGGGATCGGTTGACAGCAGAAGGGAAGAGCGG